CTAAATTGTAAATGATAAATAATGATATTACTTGTCCATGTGTTATGATGCAATACTAAGTTTCCTCTTCCTCCTTCGCCTTTTCCTCCCAACAGTGGGAATCCCGTCCATTAAGTGGTGCGGAGCCGAAGGCGACTACAACGTCATGGTCATGGAGCTGCTCGGCCCCAGCCTGGAGGACCTGTTCAACTTCTGCTCCCGCAAGTTCAGCCTGAAAACAGTGCTGCTGCTGGCCGACCAGATGGTGAGGGAGACTGACTGACTGCAGTCCACACTGTCACCCCCCCCCCACACACACACAGGAGCAACTCAATACAGATCTAATTGAGTCTTTATGAAGGGGTTCCTCAAAGTAGAAACTGAATTATAGATCATTTAAAGGTACAAATTAGATCATGCCAGTGCCGTGCCCATTCCAAATATACAGCTGAATAAATTTTTGCCTTTGTTTGCACACAATGCAAGTCAATCTCTGACTGTGAATTTATACATTTCAATAAAAGCACATCCCTATTTTTTAAACTAGAACTAAATGAATTTGAAACCAGAGAATAATTTGCATTGAAACTTCTGAAGCTTGTTTCCTGGCTCCAGACAAAGCTCATCCCCTCACTCCTCCATAAAAGTCAATTATCTGGGACGTGGAGGCTCCTCGAGGCGACGTAGTCCTCGTCACATAGGTCAGCCTGTGGTGTCCTTTATGAGAGTTTTTTAATCCATCATATTCTATAGACTGCAACTGCTACATTTGTTCTTTTTGTCCCATTTTCTCTTGGCCATTTTGACCTAATTTCCTATCTCCTTCTCTCCTCTCCTCATGTTCCTCTCCTCTCCTCTAACAGGGCAATAACCAAGATTTTAATTGTCTCATAATATAAAATGACCCTCGTATATCTGCAGACAGGCTGACGGGACTTATTGATCAAGACCAGTGACTCAACTATTATTTCAACAGGCAATGAGAACTGTGGCCTTTAAAACTCACCTGTAGTTATGGATGAAACACTCAACAAAAGTCTGAATATAGAGAGCACACTACACTACACTACAATTTTACTTATTATTTTCTGCATTCAATTGCATATATTGAATTTCCTGTGGGGTTCAACATGTAAGACCACCAATACTCATCTTTAATCCAAACTAAAGCCTTTTCCTGTCTCGCTGCTTCAGATCAGTAGGATTGAATACATCCACTCCAAGAACTTCATCCACAGAGACGTGAAGCCTGATAACTTTCTGATGGGCCTCGGCAAGAAGGGTAACCTGGTATACATCATCGACTTCGGCCTCGCCAAGAAGTACCGCGACGCCCGAACGCACCAGCACATCCCCTACCGCGAGAACAAGAACCTCACCGGCACTGCACGCTACGCCTCCATCAACACCCACCTGGGCATCGGTAAGTCGTCACACACAGAGGTTGGCCCAGATGTTCTCAGGTTCCTTTGTCTCTTTCCTTCTCCTTTTTGCTTTTTTTGTCTCCTTCTCTGCCTTTTCTTCTCTCACAAACTTTTTTGCCATATCATTTTCTCCTCTTTGCTTTGTCCTTTCCTCCACAGAGCAGTCGAGGCGAGATGACCTCGAGTCTCTGGGCTACGTTCTCATGTACTTCAACCTGGGCTCTCTGCCGTGGCAAGGGCTCAAGGCTGCAACCAAGAGGCAGAAGTATGAGCGCATCAGTGAGAAGAAAATGTCCACCCCCATTGAGGTGCTCTGCAAGGGATACCCCTGTGAGTAAAGAGTTTGCCAACAAAAGGGTCTGATACAAAAAAACTGAATGTGATAACAGTGAAAGGGATTTTTCATTTTTGTCTGGAAAGGCTCAACACCTCACCTGTCTTTAAAATCCACTTATCGCTCTCTGTTATGTTTCCCAGCTGAGTTCTCCACCTACCTGAATCTGTGCCGCTCCCTGCGATTCGACGACAAGCCGGACTACTCTTACCTGAGGCAGCTCTTCAGGAACCTTTTCCACAGACAGGGCTTCTCCTACGACTACGTCTTTGACTGGAACATGCTGAAGTTTGTGAGTGTCTTGTTTTCCCAAAGTGATTCTAACTTGGATGTTAAACTCTTTCCCTCCTTTCACACCTCATCTGCTCCTCTTTGTTGCAGGGGGCCAGCCGGACAGCAGAGGATGGAGAGAGGGAGAGGAGGGAGGGAAAAGAGGGGGAGGAGCGAGCAGGAGGAGGCCAGAGAGGAGCTGGAGGGCGAGCTCTGCCGTCTGGTCCGAACCCGTCAGCAGCGAACAGAGTCAGGAACGAGCCAGACGCTGCTGCTCCGTCCAATCCGGCTACGCGTGGTGTCCAGCAGTCTGGTCAGCATGGTGGTTGTTTTTTTAATGTTTGGATGTAACTGAAAACCAGCTTTACCTTTTTATTTCAAGTGTCTGTCTTCATATGTGTGCAGGTAACCGCTCGCCTCAGGCGGGGAGAGCAGAGCGAGCCGAGCGAGAGAGGAAGGTGGCCATGAGGCTCCATCGTGGGGCCCCCGCCAACGTCTCCTCCTCTGACCTCACTGCACGCCTCGACCAATCACGCATCACTGCATCACAGGTAGGAAAAACTGTCACTGAACCAGTTCTAAGTACAGGAGTGAACGCACACAAACGTGCCATGAATGCATCCTGAGATCTGACCACCTACTCAACTGATGTCCTCTGAACTGCTACAGTTTCAATGAATGAATCAAATGTAGTTTTCTGCTTCTCGGTGTCTATACATTGATTTGTTTGTGGACAATGACACAATATCAACACTGACAAATACAAAATGATTTTCCATTTTTTTCACACTGGTAGAATCTTTCTTCATTGTGGAGCCTCATGCAGCTCATTGATTCCTTCAGCTCCTCCTGTCTCCATTCTCTCACTCTTTCTCTCTATCTCTTGCTCACACTGACACAAAGACACACGGACACAGTGACAACTTAACTCAGACTGTGTGATCACAACATATGAACATTTTTATTTACAAATTCAGGAGGGAAGTGAGATGTGGTCACAGGAGACACATTCAGGACGCATTTTAATGTCAGGGGTGAACAGATAACTTTGGATCTCTCATGACAGATGTTAATAACAGGTCTGAACTCACCAACTGTGGTGTACCGTCGGTTCTATTCAGAAGACTTACAGCACCAGTAAATAAGCCTTCCCCTACTGATCCGAACCATAGACTGTATATAAACATGGATGCTGCTCTCCAAAAGTGAAGCCAAAACATCTTGATCGCCATCTGGTGGCTGGCTGCAGTACATGTCTGTGGTCCAAACCTTTGATCGCGCACTATGCTTCTGTCTTCGTTGTGGGTCTACTTGTCTACATGATTTTTAGCAAATGTAGCAGCAACTTTTGTGAGGTAAAAACCTCTGTGAGACTGCCAACAGATCACAAAGGCCACATTCTGTCCTCAAAGAACTGATTCAGGTAAATGCACAGGGTGTTAAACATATAGTGTTCTTCAGGTGTCTTACTGTCGTCTCTCTTTGTGCTGCCTCAAGCTTCTCATCTTTCTCTCCATACTCAGGTCAGTGTGCCATTTGAACATCTGGCAAAGTGAATTCATCTTGGCTGGCCTGCAGGTCAGCGACAGGTATGGACACGCATGAGACACACACACACACACACACACACACACACACAC